ATGCTGGTAAGCCTCTGCTCTCCCGTTCCCTTCAGTGTCCCTCGGCCCCCACGGCTGCCCAGAAGTCTAGGCTAGGCCGGAGAAGCCAGTCCGGGGCTAATCCAGCCACTGTGCTCCCCAGATCGCTGCCAGAGGTTCCGGGTCTAGCGTTCGGTGCCAGAACAGGTGGGTGTCCTCTCCCTGGAGCTGCAATGTGGGCGGGTTGCACGGAGGGGAATCCTGGGGGGTCTGAGGTCATGCAAAGCCCTGCTTCTCCCTGAGGAGAAGGGCTCATGCCCTCCTGTTCCCACACTCTGCCATCTCTTCCTCCGGCCTAGCCCTGTGGGCAGTGAGCCCAGGGGTGGGGTCTGGGTGGTATCAAGGCACAGAGGTGGAGGCCGGGGTTCAACAACGAGGCCTCTATTCAGGCCCATGTCTCACCCTGCCCAGCCTCCAGCACTTCCACCACCGTCCACCTGTGTCCTGCATACCATCCCTCCCAGCCCTCCTAGATGGCCCCGCTGCCTCCAGAAAGGGTCCGGACCCCACCATACACACGGGGATCCCTCTGCTCCGCCCCTTGCCCACTCCTGCCTCTCAGCTATGATGCTCCCTGGCTCGATAAAGCACTTTCCAGCAAAAGCACACTCCTAGGTCTGTCAGAGTCCTAGAGGCCACTAATCATGTCTCTTGGAGCTGTGGGACCAGCAAAGCGAAAGATGGAGACGTCATCCCCAGTCAGAGTCCCTGCTGAGGGGAGCCGGGACACCCCCACAGTTGTGCTCCAGAACTGTCACAGACTTTTACCAAAGGATGAAGTCACATTTATTACTTTTTTACCTTTTCAAATATGTAAGCTTGTGTCAGTTAGGACTCTCTTGGCTTGGAATAACCAGAAAATCTTACACACACACACACACGTGTACACACAAGGTTTTGGCATAAAAGTGGAATTTGGCTGGACTCGGTGGGTCAGCCTGTAATCCCAGTACTTTGGGAGGTCGAGGCAAGTGGGTTGCCTGAGCCCGCGGGCTCAAGACCAGTCTGGGCAACTTGGCGAGACCTTGTCTCTACAATAAATTTTTAAAATTAGCTGGGCTTGCTAGTGTGCACCTGTAGTTCTGGCTATTTGGAAGGCTGAGGTGGAAGGATCACTGGAGCCCAGTGGGTCGATGCTGAGATAGCCATGACTGTGCCACTGCACTCCAGGCTGGGCGACAGAGTAAGACTCCAACTCAAAAAGAAAAAAAAGTGGAATTTGTGGGTGCTCACATTTGAAAGGTGCTGAGGTAGATCGATGACCTGCAGGTATGGCTGTATCCAGGAGCACCAGTGACCCACATCGCTGGAATCTGATCTGTCTCTTTCCTCTTCGCTCTCGTGGGTGGCCACCGGCAGCCACAGACCCCCTCCTCCCACACTGAGGGGCCGTGACATGAGCTCACGCCTCTCTCCAAATCTACCTTTCTGAATTCATAACTGTCTTGGTGAATATTTTCACCCCTGCGACTCCAGCCATACCAAGCCCACTGAGGCACCAATGGCTGCCAGCTCGCACGTCACACCCAGCTGCCTGGGGCCACTTCAGGGTTCCAGAACAGGGACGTGACACACCTGGCCTGGGAGCGGAACAGACATCTGGCTCGGGGCACCCCATGACACCCTGTCTCGCAGCGGACACAGGGGGCAGGCCCAGCGTACTTGGAAACTTTTCCTCCTGGGTCTGTGGAGCTGATGACAGACACCAGGCCCCACTTGGGGATGACCGGAAGCCCTGGCGAGGCCCAGGTGCAGCAAGGGCCTTCTGGAAGGGCCTAGCCAAAAGGGAAAGGTGGGATGAATGGGTTGGGTGGTCAGGGCAGAGGGTCCAGGGAGAGGAAACTACCTGGATGAGACTGCAGTGGGGGAGACATGTCATCATGCATCTGTCAGAGCCCACAGCACGCGCACCCAGTTCTGGGTGGTGTCAAGGCAGGCTCATCGGTTGAAGCAAGGGCACCCTCTGGTGGGGGTGGCTGACCACAGGTGTGCTGTCAGGAGCGGGGGTCTGTGGGAACTCTGTGCCTGCCACTCAGCTCTGCTGGGAACCCAAAACTTGAGGAAGAGGGGGAGAGAGAAACAGACACAGTTATAGATACACACACACACACACACACACACACACATATACAAAATAAGCATATTTATAAAATGTATTAAGTTAATATACATACACTTTTTTTTTAATTGTAGAGACAAGGTCTCACCAAGTTGCCCAGATTGGTCTCAAATCCCTGGACTCAGGCAATCCTTTTGCCTCGGCCTCCCAAAGTGCTGGGTTTATAGGCTTGAGCCACTGCATCTGGCCTAACTATACTTTAAAAAAAAAAAAAAACACTCTCTTTCTGCCTCTTTTTATTTTTTTATTTTTATTTTTTTGAGTTGGGGCCTCACTCTGCCGCCTAGGCTGGAGTACAGGGGCACAATCACAGCTCACTTCTACAATCCTCCCTCCTCAGCCTCCCGAGTAGCTAGGACTACCAGTTCATGTCATCACGCCCAGCTAATTTTTCATAGAGACGAGGCTTTGGTATGTTACTCAGACTGGTCTCGAACTCCTGGGCTCAAGTGATCCTCCTCTCAGTCTACCAAGTAGCTAGGGCTAGAGGTGCACGCCATGATGCCTGGCTAATTTTTTGTAGAAATGAGGTCTTGCTATGTTGCCCAGGCTGGTCTTGAACTCCTGCCTCATGTGATCCTCTCACCTTGGCCTCCCAAAATGCTGGGGTTACAGACACGAGCCACGGCACCTGGCCAGGGTTCTTAAACGCTGATCTGAGAGTCACCCAGTCAAGGATGGCAGCTGTGATCTGTCATTTTCAGGCTCTGCAGCCTCATGTGGCCATCCACCCTCTCTGTCCACTCTTGCACTGTGGGACACTGGGCTGTCCCAGTTTTGTGTATTTGTCGGGTGCCAGCGTTCCGTTCACAGGCTGCCCTGGGTCCTGGCCAGCAGGTGGCGCCTGCCACCCGGCTCTCCCTCATGGAGGACTTAGGTGAAGAATGACCCACCCACTGTGCCTCATCTCCTGATGGGCTCGTGGTGGCCACCATGGGGAGACGGAATTGGGGAAGGTGGGGTGGGCAGAAGAAAAAGCCAGGAAAGACAGGGGCTCGGGCCAGGGCAGTCATGGGGCACAACATGGTTGGGCAATGGCATGGCTGGTGGACTGTCCACCACAGGCTGTCCTGCTGGGTCAGGGATGAAGCAGGAGGGCCCTCAGGGTCAGCAGGATTTGGGCCTGGACACCTGAGAGGACAGAGTCACTGCCAGCTGGGCAGGAAAGATGGGAGTGAGGACAGGGCAGGAGCACCAGGGTCCGGGGGAGAGTCCACTAGAGATCAAGTCCAGGCTGAGGGCAACCAGGGCTGAGAGAGACCCTGGGCTGAGCTATGGTCCTGGAGGTGTAGGCAAGGGCAGACCATGGCACCTGCAAGGAGTTTTACAGCAGAGACCCCTGCAGCACCAGCTATGGCCATCCCATGTGTTCCCTCACATCCCTGCTGGGCTCATCTCCACCCACCCCAGGAAGCAGTGGGCCTGGGGCAACGGGGGAGCATGTGTGTGGGGGAGAGCCAGGACGCTAAAGGCCAGAGTGCCCCCCCCCCATAGCACTGGCCTGTACTTGAGATGCACACACCAACACTCATGGGAGCACAAAGACACACCGACACCAACACACACAGGTACACAACTGCACAAGCACACATACACAAACACGCACACAGTCTGGAGACTTGAGCCCAGATGAGCTGGAGAAGTGAGGACAGCCTGGAGCACACCGGGCCCCGGGCCCTCGGCACACGCGGAGTGTCAGTAGATGCCCAGCTGCCGTTCTGCCCCAGGTTGTCAATAGGAGCCATTCGTGCCAGGAGGCGAGGGGTCCTGAGGACAGTGGGTGCCAGCCCAAGGCCACACCTCAGGCACCGGAGCTGACTCCCTTCCGAGGGGTCAGGGTGGGCGCTCAGGTCCACCTCTGTCATGGCCTGCCGTGAGCGACATGCTCCTCCATGAAGCCTGGCACAGAAAAGCCTTCCACACAGGGGCTCTCTGGTCTTTGTCTGAGTGACTCAGGATGAGACAGAATGTTCCAGCTGGCTGCAAGCAGGGGTAGCACGTGGGCACGGGGCTACAGCCTACAGGGGCTCTGGGCCCACTCGAGACTGTGTCTTCTCCTTGGAAAACAGGGACTGCCTGGCCCCCGGAATTCATGCTGACCTGGGGGGGTCACAGGGGCCTGGCGTGTCTCCAGCTGGGGATAGGTGAGCCCCAGTCAGTTTAGGACAGAGGCCAAGACCCACCTGTGCTGTGGCCAAAGGTCAAGTGGGCACTTGAGCAGGGTCAGTCCCAAACCACAGCAGTTAACTCAGCCCTTCTCAGATCCCGGAGCGGGGCTCAGGAGAGGCCCCGACATGGAGGCCAGGTGGCCTCTGCCCCGATGCCCCCAGGCACAGTGAGTGCAGAGGTGACCAGCATCAGAGGTGGAGGGCAGCCCTTTCCTTGGGCCTCTGGGCAGGGAGAAAGGACACCAGAGTCTTCCCGAAGGAACTCCACCCCACACAGCCTACCACACTGCCCCACAGCTCTGAGAGGCACCAAAGAAAGAGCCATCCAGCCCGGCCTCCAGGCACCAGAGTGCGAGTCCACCTCATCTCTGCCTCAAGTGCCAGAACTTCCCCATGCCCCCATAGCATCCAGGCTGGGTTATTTAGGGACTCACACCTAAGAACTCCTCAGCACACTGAGCAGCTGGGTGCCCTGAATGGAGGTGGTACCATCTACCAGTGAATCGGATTAATTGCACAACAATACACGGGCTTTGCTTCCTCCAGGAAAACTTCCTTCCCTTTTAATATTCAGCCTCCGCGTCACAGCCCGCCCGCCTTGCTCAAATTAGAGTGCAGCTGCAAGCCAACCCGAAATGCAACGCGTTGTACACAACGGGAGCACGTGCCCCAGCTCCCACCCCAGGCCCCAGCTGCTAGCAGGCAAGGAAGTCAGGAAAGATGCTGTCCAGCTCATCTCGCACAGCCAGGCCCAGCCAGCCCATGTCCGCGCCCCACAGCTCCGGGGATCCATCCTGGAGCTCCTGGGAGTCAGGCTCAGGATCCCCGGGGACATCTGGTTCTGCCCTATCCAGGGAGCTGTTCTTGGCCAGGCCCCTGCCTCCTCTGCCCTCCAGAGACCCTGGAAGAGACACAGGTAGGTGTGGTCAGAATGCAGGTTCCTTGCCGCTCCAGGAGCCCTCTGCTCAGTGTGAGGCAGGAACATGCACCCTGCCCTGAACCTCACACGGAGAACTATGACGGCAGTGCGCGGACTCAGCCCTGGCAACCCCACACCCAGGTCAGGACGCCTGACAGCCAGAACCAGAATGGGTCGCCAGCATTGATCCCGAAGGGACAGACACGGCATATCACAGGGCCAGGTGCCTGTCAGCTGGTGGGGCTGACTCGGGGACACAGGCTAGAGAAAAGGCCTGAGGGTCCATATACGACCAACTCTGCATGTCACAAGCTCATACACACACACTCACACATTTCATACTCACACACACGCTCACATATGCTCACTCACACATATGCGCACCTGCACGCTTATACGCTCACATAATGCTCACCCATTCCTCCACACACACACACACACACACAGCTGCTCTTATACAGACAAGCATATACTCTCAAGCTCATTCACATGCTTACGTGCACACTCACACACATACATGCTCACACATGCTCACACTCATACACATGCTCACATACTCATACATATGCCCACACATGCGCTCACTCACATACATGCTCACATGCACAAACACACATGCTCAGACTCACATGCATGCTCACATGCTCAGACTCACATGCATGCCCACACATGCTTGCACATATGCTTACACACATGATCATACACACGATCACATGTTCCCACATACTCCCACACACTCACATGCACAAATTCACACACGTGGGCTCTTACAGACACACATTCTCACACATGCGCAAATGCTCAAACGTGTGTGCTTATACACGTGTGTACTCTGGACTCACATATTCTCATGTGGTACATGCTGCCAGTCATCCTGATAACCAAGCACCAGCTGTGGAGAACACCGGGGCTCAAAAACAGTCACTGGGTCTCCGCATCACATGATGGGCATGGGTCCCAGTGCCCCCCAGTGCCCCAGGCCCAGGGCCCTACTCACCCGGCAACCAGTCAGCACTGGCAGTCAGCAGGATGGGTGTCCCCTCCTCCCCATGGGATTCTGACAGGAGCCTGGAGGTGGGAAGACCCCAAGCAGCCACAGTGGGCCCAGGCCCTTGGAGCTCATGGGAGCAGCCCGAGTCCTGAAGAGGGTGCCCCAGAGACAAAGCCCCTCTCCCACCTGCCCTGCCCCGGGAAAAGCATGCTGAAGCACCACCAACGACATGGGTCCCGTCCCTGAGGCCCTGGCCGGCTTCCTGCTGCCTCAGCCTCGCTCCTGCTCCCGCCCGCGCCCAGCTGGTGTGTGCTCACCAAACACAAACTCATTTCACCATCAGCCAAAACAGAAGACAATTAGGAAGACAACAGAACTTTCAGACACACACGTTAGAGCTGCACGCATCTGCTGATCCCAGCCTGGGCCCACAGCCTCAACCCTCCTCCCTGGGACACAGAGAAGCAGGGGCGGAAGCTTCCAGATGTCAAGAAAGGACCAGCCAGGAGCCAGGCAGGGAAGGCGGCGTGGTACCACACACATGTGCACACACAAGAATGCGCGCGCACACACACACACCCGGGCACCCACCTGGCCTCTGGAGCAGACATCAGAGCCTCCTGGGCCGGCCCTCGAAGGGCCATGGCACCCTTGGCTGGGGATCCAGCTTGGCCCAGGCAGCTGGGAGCCTCTTTACTTGTCACAGGGGAGGAAGGCCGCCCTGAGCAGGGAGGCCAGGGAGGGGATGGCTTCTGAACCTTGGCGAGGCTGGAGCCTGGGGGCCAGAAAGCCAGGCTGGGAGCCTCTGAAGAGAAGCCAGACAGACGGGGTCAGCCTCTCCTGTCCCGCCCCCCAGCCACCCTGAAACCCTCATGATTCACAGGCTCGGTCCACTCAGGCTGACCGAGGCCTGCCCTGCCACCCGTGCTATCAGCGGGGACATGCAGAAGAATGCTCAGAAGCAGGTGGCAGACACATTGCAGGGAGAAGGTGATGGTCTCATCCAGAAGCAAGGCGCTCAATACCTGGGGTCAGGGGGCTTCTTGGGGGAGGTCACAATTTGGCCTCAGTCAACCATGCAGGGCTCAGATCTGGGGACCCTCTTGGTGCTGCCCTGAGACCTGCTCCCTGCCCACACGACTTCTGCGCCCATGTGCCCTGCTGGGTGACCCCCAACCTGCCACCAGGCTTGCCAGTGGCAAGACCCCCTCCCCACCACAGCAGGCACAGCAGAGTTGGAAGGCCCTGAGCCACTTCCAGATGGCAAGCGGGCGGGGGCAATGCAGCCATTGGGGGCACCCTGCAGGGCTGCCCACAGAGGGACCAGAGCTCAGCCGTGGGCGGCACCAGGGAACAAAGGCCACGCGGAGGAGGGAACAGCCTGGCCAAGACGTGACCCAATTATAGTTTCTGTGTTGGGCAGCACAGGCAGAAGGCGGGCAGAGCACCCCGGGGAACACAGACGTCTGGCTGCATCTGAGACATGAAAACCAGCCAGAAGCAGCCAGAAAGCAAAGCCACCTCTAAGCGGAGCTGCTGAAGACACGGGTACAGACGGTGGGGTGGCCAGGCTGGGGCCGAGTCCCGCTGCTCCCCACTGCCTGGCAGACCCAGGGAGGAGGCAGTTTGGGAACTGTCCTCAGGAGTAAAGGCAGGTTAGAAGGGCCAGCTTGGACCCTCCACTCCCTGGAGCAGAGGGAGACCAAGAGAGGAGGATGCAATGGGGAGGACAGGAGGTGGGGACAGGACAAGGATGGACCTCAGTGGAGGTGCCCCTGTCTGCTCCCTCCTGAGAGCACACACGGTGCTTTACATGAAAACTGGGGACCCTGCGATGCAACCCCCAGCAGGCAGGTTTCATTATGACTGATGAGAAAGCTCAAAGCCCAATTCAAAAACACACACCGCCATTCTCAGGTCATACATCATGTGACCCAGAACCAGTCCGGAGCCCCACCGGCCTGGGATACCACATATGGGTGTGCACAGGCTCGTGCTTACCAGGAAGTGGGGGCAGCTCGCCCAGCACCTCAGACAACCCTGATGGGGCTTTGCTCTCCACCACACTCCGGGTCTCACAGCTCGGACTGTCCCACTGCCTGCAGGATGCAAAGACACAAGTGAGGGGGCTCAGAGTCCATGGGCTGGGCAAGATCTGACCCTAGAACCAAGTGCTTTCTAAAGGCAGCTTCATTTCTGGGGCACATTGAGAAGGATCCTGGAGCTGCCCCACACCCCTAAGACTGCTCCCACCTTCCTGCCCCAGCAGAATATCGACTTTTCCCAGAGCATCTAGGAAGCCAGGGAGCCTCTGCCCCAGGGCCCTGGGTGGGTTCAGCCCTAAGTTTTCCTCTTAGAGCCTCTCTCTGCTGGCCACCTGTCCCACCCTTCCAGATTCTAGATCCTTCCACCGTGGCTGGTCCAGGGTGCAGTCCTCTTTTAGGGTAAGACAGATAGTTTAAGTACGAAAGGCAGACAATCCTTCAGCCTGGTGACCTGTCATTCTAAAAGGACCAAATTATCTGGACCAGAAAATTCCATCCCTAGACTTCTGAGGCTGTGGGAGGGTGTGGCCGGGGAGGGGGCACAACACCCTCCCAGCTACAAAGCCCCCACCCAGATGGGAGAAAGCCCTGGTGCCTCCCACCCTCCCCAGTCCAGGCCCTCCAGTCTCTGACCAGCTCCCCTTATGGACCCTAGCTCCGTCGACCCTCCCACTGCCACCATCCCGGGCTGGGTAGTGTGGCCACCCCAAGTGTGAGCCCTCAGCAGTCACTTCCGTGGAAAGAGAGCCAGGCCTCCCACCACCTCCTCCCAAGGATGTGCCCGGGGCTTGGCATCTACTACCCCAGGGGCCACACAGTCCTGCAGGAGACACTAACGGAGTCACACCAGCTACTCCCGCCCTGGAGTCTGACACACTAGCTGGGCTCTGATTCGCCAGGGTCCATTGCAAGATGTTCTGCAGCGAATGCCACATGTCCTCAGAGGGCAGGAGGACCTGAAATTCAAACACATACTCCAAACTGCACAGAGACGATCACCCAGGAAGCCCACGGGCAAGGGGGGCTGGGCCAGACCAGAGTCTTGTAGGGCCCCTGGGGACCCTGAGGCTCCCCGCAAGCCCAGTCCCCACTGAGGTCTGAGGTGAGGGGTGCAGGCTGACAGCGGAGACTGGAGGCTCATCTCGAAGCATCTTGCTCCTCCTGGTGGGCCTATGCCCACCCGGGGAACTCGGGCAATGCTGGGCCCTGACCTCCCAGGTGTCAGGATAGCACCACTCCCCAACTCTGAAGCCCAGCAGAGCTGTGGGGGACTCAGGGAGGAGACAAAAGCCGGGGGGGGGGGCGAGTGTGGGAAAATGACCTAAGTGGCGCTCAGATGGAGGCCCTCAGTTGCCCCAAAGCCAGCGCTGAGCGTCAGGGCAGGTGTCTGGGGAAAATGAAGGGTACAGTCTCACACACCGGGAATCAACCCTTTCCAGAGGAGGAATAAGAGATGGAATTCGAACGAACCCAGGAGGACCCTGTTGGCAACACGGCCAGACCTAGCTGTGGAGACCGAGGGGGCAAGGGAAGCTGAAAGGCAGGGGATGGGGGTTGGGGAGACATGCCGCCCCCAGGGCAATGAGACATCAGTCTCCGGCTAATCCAGAGGGCTGGTGGGGTCCAGCCTCATGACTCACAGCATGGGGCACGTGGTCTGGCAGCAGGGCGTGAGCCAGCTGCAGGAACTGCACAGCCATCTCCAGCACCGAAGCCATGTCCTCCCGCCGGCCAGCAAAGCGGGGCAGCAGGGCCCGTAGGTGCTCACAGCTTGCTGAGATCCGCTTCCTGTTCCCGACAAGCAACAGCGTCCCTGAGCCCCGCTGGCATCCCCAGGGAAAAGCAGAAGTCCGAGAACCCACCACAGAGCAACTCTGGGGCTTTGGGGACAGGGGCGTGGTGGGGCCAAAGCCACTGCCAGCTCTCCAGGGGAATCCACAGCAGGGCATAGGGTGTGCCTGACCTCGACCCCGGAGACCCCAGGCACAAGCTATCCAGATGTGTGGGGCTAGACCAGCCAGCCCACGCCTGGACCATCATTGTGTTGGGGTGTGAAGAGGAAAGGGGAGCCCGACGGGCAGAGTCAGGGTATAGAAGGTCTTGAACGCACGGACTCAAGAACTCAGGGCTTCGGGACCAAGGAGAGGGGTTAGGCAGCAAGATGGTCCCCTGGCCACCCCCCTCCCCGCCCTCCTATCTGCTTGGGAGATGAGCAGTTTGTCCCCCTGCTGGACATCTGCCCCCCGGCCACCAGCGCCAGCCACGGACACTGGGGACAGCCACACACCTCATCCCCTCACCGCCCGAGAAGTTCAGGACCCTGGAGGTCGCCCAGCACACCTGCGCTCCCTCTCACTGAGCACGTTCCGCGGGAGGAAAGAGCTGGGACCCGCGGCCAGCGGAGGGGTCTTGGCCGGGTCCCGGGAGGGGTCCTCGCAACAGAACAGGGCACCGGACAGAGAAGAGGCACTGCCAAAAGACAGCCAAAAGTACCGAGCTCTCAGACTCCCCCCCCAAACGCCACCAGGAGCCCCAGACGCGGGAATGGGCGTCTGCGAACGCCAGGCAAGGACAGGCCTGGGTCACCCGGGTCCACGCCCGCCCTCTTGGCACCTCTCCCCTCCCCCGGGGCCAAGGGCTCTGCCCCAGGCGAGCCAGGCTGGGCGAAGACCCACAACAACTGGACACAGGCCTTGGGCCCCGACCCCGTCGCTAGTCCCACCCACTTCCTCACCCGCATGTCTCCGAGGTGGAGACGCGAGGGGCCTCGGCGTCGGGCTCAGGCCCCAGGGACGCCATAGGGACGCAGCCGCGAAGGGGAAGCAGAGGGGAGACCGCCCCACGGCCCCGCCCCCTCGCGTGCGTCTAGCCCCGCCTCCCGCGCTTTCCAGCCAGTCAGTGCGTCTGCCCTACACATGCCCCGCCCCACCCCGTGCCTGACACGACGGCGCATGCGCCTCTCCCTTTCCCCAGCCTCCCTTCTCAAGGTCCACGTGCAGTGAAGCTGCCAGAGAGAAGTTTCTGGAAAGTATGGAGGCGGGCCAGCCTGCTCCAGGCCCCATCCCGGGTGGACTCTGCCCCTCCCCTTGCCCTTCCTGGGGGTCACCCCAGTTCCCACCCAGGTGGGGTCTCTGACCGCCTGCCAGCCCTTGGGTGCCCCCTGGGCCACCTGGAGCCACAGGCCCTGCCCTGGTCGGGAGTGGGGAGGCTGGTCTAAGAGCTGTTTGACCAAGATTTGTGGGACTTAGGGACCCAGGAGGGTGGGGGGACACCCAGCTGCCCTCTTACCTTCACTCGTGCCCTTGCTCCAAATCTCGTCCTCTTGTGGGTGCTCCCTTAACAGCAGGGCAACCGTCCACCCGGCTGGGTCGCCCAGAGGCGGGAGCATCCTGACCCCATCCTGCCCCCAGCTCAGCCCACCGTCCCTCTCTGCCCCCATTCCCCACCCAACCCCCACATGAGGAGCCCCCACCTCCTCCCACCATGGTTTCCAGCAGGTTTGGGGGGTGCGGGTTCTCATTGCTCAACGTCTCTGCTCACCTCCCGCATCTTAAGGAGTCGCCCAGTGCTGGGTTCACAGAAGTCACTCGTTGAGTTACAAGGAACGCAGGAAGAGGAAAGTGGAAACCCCTTTTCAAGGAGATTGGACCCTTCGGGGAGCAGCGACCAGAGAGAGCCGGGGCAGATACCACTGCAGCAGTGGGGGGTCTGCCGGGGTGCCCCCGTTTCCACCGAGAAAGCAGGGCTCCGGGCTGCAGACCCTGGGCCTCAGGCAGGCATGGTGGACTTCCGACCAGGCATGGGTCAAGGCCGGACGGCAGCACCCGGGCCAGCCTCAGAGGGAGGTGGCGTGACGGGAGGCGTCTCTCCATCACTGTTCAACCCAGCCAGGACTGCAGGTCAGATGTTGAGGAGAACCGGGTAGGCAACGACCGAGGGGGCTGTGGTCTGGGGTTGAGGGACCGAGCGGGGCCCCTTCCCCTCCTGCCCCGGGATGGTGATGGAAGGATGGGCTGGCTTGCTGAGGTCGGTGACCCGGCGCGCTCTTGGGGTTTTCCCAGCCACTCGCTCCTGTTTGCCGGGGTCACGAGGGCCCCAAGCGCGCAATGGATACGCGTCCCGGGGTGTCTGGAGAGCGGGTGAACCAGAGACCCCGGCGGTCCCCAGCGGGCCGGGCGGCCGCAAGTCCCGGCGTGGCCGGCAGGGGCATGCGCGGACAGGCGCCCGGACCCGACCTTGGAGCTGGTTTTTGGGAAGAAGCCAGAGGTGGCTTCGGATGCGCTGCCCCCGGGGCTCGCGGTCCCGGCCGCCGGCCCACATGCTGCTCCCCGACGGGGCGCGCGGCCCTGGGGGTGTCTCCCGGGGCGCGCGCGGCAGAGGCTACACCAGCGGGACCTTCGAATCCGACGACGGCCGACGCGACCCCAGGTATGCTCTGCTGCACCCTCCCCCACGCAGGACGGCCCGGTCCAGGCTAGCGGCCCCCCAGCAGCCCCCAGGGCCCTGTCACCGCCAGACCCCCATGCCCTCCAGTACCCTCATCCCCGCGGCCATCCAACTCCCCGGAACCCGCGAGCGCCCTCTCTGACCGCCCAGGGAGCAGCGGCGCCCCTCAGAGTGGGCCCGCTTACTTGAAGGAGCGGCCGATGCCCTGGGCAGGAGGTGGGAGCACCGGCCACTGTCAGAAACCGGGTTCTGAGCATCTCTGGGTAGCGGAGAGAGACGGCAGGGAGGCGGGGGGCAGCCTCTCCCCTTTCCCCTGGGTCGCATCTCCCTTGCACAGGGTGGCGGCGCGAGTGGGGGGAGGGAGGGCCGCTGGACACCGAAGGGGTTCCCAGGGCTGCCCTTCCCAGACAGAGCCCCAAAATGGGAAGCAGGGGAGAGTGGGGTGTAGGTGGGCTGAAGTGAAAGTCCTGGGATCCAGTCACTGAGGAATTTCCAGCAGTCACTTCTCTTCCCTGTTTGCCCATCACTGGGAGGAGAGGGTCCACTGGGAGGGGCTTCCAGGTGACCCAGAGCCAGCCATTCTGGGATGTCACATGGCTCCTGCCTACCCATTGACCAGTACAGGGGGCACAGGGCAGCAGCGCTGGCAGCGGCACAAGGGGAGGGACAGGAGCGGTAGAGAGGGCTGACCCGAAGGGTTTGCCCAGGGTCCTGTCCTCTGCCCCTCCCTTATCCCTGGAGCCCTGAAGACAGACACATCTGCTTCCCACCCCATGCCCAGAGCCAGACTCTCGGGGACCCTGAGCAGAACCAGCCCACCCTGGCTTCTGCTAGGTCTTGGGCTGTTCTGAGACCAGAGAAAGGGGTGGACGAGCGAACCTGAAGGCCAGAAGCCTGGGGTCAAGGCCAGGTGCTTCTATCCATTTTTTCCCCTATGGGGCTCAGTTTCCCCATATGTGAAATGAGAGTGTCGAGTGGATGGTCTTTAGAGGCTGTTTCTGGTAAGGGACCAGGCTCGAGGAATCTCCAGCATCTAGGGGCAGGTGTGCCACTAGCTGGGCACCCCTGGGGACATGGGAGGATGCCACAGGTGCTCTGTGGGTGGGCAGTCACTTGGTGTCCTATGGAAGGGATGCAGCCTGGACCTCCCATTGGGCTGCTTTGAGGGGCCAACCAGGAGATACCTGTCCAGCACAGAGTAAGTGACCGCAAGAGGGCACTTGGGTCTCCATCGTCATCATGGTCTGGTGGGGTCCCCTGCTGTCTCTCTCAGTCTCCCTGGCCATTCTGCTCCGAGGCCATCACCTGCCCTGCCAGATTCCACCATCTGCTCCGGAAAAGGTGGCAGTGTTCTGTCCCCGAGGTCTGGACTCCAGCCCCAACCTGCCAGGCTTGGTCCCCCGGTCACCTGCCTCTCCCCGGCACTGCCCACCCACTCAGGGCAACTCTTCCTCCTGCTGGTTTGAGCTGGTCTCTTTCTCTGCCGAGACTCACTGTTACACTGCAGCGGGGTGGCTGCCAAGGCCAGGGGGACGTCAGGCAGGTGGGTGAGGACCCCCGGGGAGAGTCAGGCTGGTGAGGACCCCATCACGCTGTTGTCTGACACCCCCACCATGAGGCCTAGTGCAAGACTGTGCCTCACAGGATGTCCCCACACCACCGCTGCTCTGCCTGAGAGGGCTCTTCCCTCTATGCACAGAAGCCCTGCAGCCTGAGCTGCCAGCCTGGACCTCCCCAGAGCTCAGCCCTCCCTTGTGGCCCCACCATCCCTCGGGGTGTCCTCACCCAGTCTCACTCCCCCCGGTGGGTCCTCACCTACCTGACTCTCCCTGGGGGTCCTTACCCACCTGCCTGACGTCCTCCCAGCCCTGGCAGCTGTCCCTGCTGCAGTGTGGCAGTGAGTCTCAGCAGGGACAGAGGCCAGCTCAGACCAGCAGGGGGAGGGGCTGCCCTCGGTAGGTGGGCAGTGCCAGGGGAGACACGGGTGACTGGGGACCGAGCCTGGCGGGCTGGGACTGCAGCCCAGACCCTAGGGGCACAGCACTGCTACTTGTCTGGAGCAGGTGGTAGAGCTGACCCTGGTGTCTGACGGCCCTGGGCCTGGCACTGCTGTCTCCCAGGCCTTGGGTGGGCCTCTGCCTCCATACAGAGAATGCTCACCATGGTGCTGATTCAGGGGACAGGAGGCATCAGAACACCCCATCCTAGCCTGCTTTCTTCTCTGGTCCCATCTCACTGGTACCCCCTCCAGGCTGCGGGGCTGGGAAGTGGGTTCTGGAGAGGAGCTCCTGTCCCTCAGAGTTGTAGGAATGTTCACCCGGCTCCCACCCCCTTTGGGGCCCCCGTTCCCCCAGCCCTTGCAGCGGGGTCCCAGCCCCCCAGCCACCTCCTCACAGTCCCTGGGCACACACTCTCTGCTCCACTCCTTCCCAATCTGGGTGTTTCTGTCCCAGAGGTGATAGTTGCCATAGGTGAGGGAGGGGCCAGCGGGCTTGACTCCCAGAGCCCAAGAGTGCGTGCTTTCTGCCTGGTGCACATCCTGTCAGAGCCCTGGCCCAGCCTCTCCTGGAGCTGCCAGTTCCCACAGCTCTGCTTCTGGGGCGGGCCCGGAATCTTCTGGGCCCTGGTGCCAGAGGACACAGGGATTGGACCCTGGCATCCCACCAGGGTACATGCCTGGCCAAGATCCTGGCTGGCCCTCCAGGCCCATGTTAGGAGGCGTGTCTGCCAGCAACAGGAAGCAGCCCAGCCCTGGGGGTGGGGGGGGGAGCTCCAGGGCCTGATTATTCAGCTGGCACTGGCCAGCAGGAGCTCAGGGACTGCTTAGCTGCTGGGGGTGGCACCCACAGGGCTCAGGAGGACAGAGGTGAGTGAAGGGATTGGGTAGTGCCATGGGGATTTCTGCCCCCATCTGCATGCCCGATGCTGGGCACTCCAGTGTCCTCATGCCAACAGCCTCAAGAAGGCTGTTCTCGTCTACCAGCCACATGGTACCCTGGCCTGTGGTGGGCCTGGGTCTTAGTGAACTGGAAGGTATTTGTGTGGGACAGTCCTGGGGGCAGAGATCATGGCCTCTGTCCTGACTTTTTACCCAAGAGTGATGTGGCAGACTGTGAGTTCTTTCTAAGGCATCTTATTTGGTTCCCAAGGACACCGGGACTTGCAGGCTTTGCCCCAGGTGCCATGGGCCATCAGTGAAGTGGCACTTCTGAGTCCCCCACAGACAATCCAGATGTCTCTAACATGGGAGAGTCCGTTCATGCATGTCCAGCCCCCCGTAGTAAGGGATGCTCACTGGGGACTGTGTGCATGCCGGCCCCAACACGCGTGCTGTGTGTGCTCGTGCTAGTGAGCATGCCCTGTGCACATGTGTGGGGGCGGGAAGAGGATGGATGACCACCGCAACCTGGCCCTTGTGACCAAGAGGTCTCCTGCTGTGAGTCTTTGGATTGGGCGGGGCATGTCTGACTGGGTGCTGAGCCCCGATTAGAACAGGCATCTTTCTGAGATATCTTAGGGGCTTTCTGGCCATGTGTAGATAAGGCTGTCCCATTCACCTGAGCCCTCCCACCTGTGGGACTTGGGGGTGAGCCAGGCAGGGCTGAGCCCCGGGAGGTGAGGGGTACTGGGAGCTGGCAAGTGTAGAAGATCTACGGGGGATAGGCTGGGGCAAGGGGCAGACTTCCCAGTGGGTCCCTGGGAAGGCCTCTCAGGAGGGGTCTCCAGCTGCTCCCTGGAGCAGGAGTGGGAGAGGGGCAGCAGAAGAGGAGGCTGGCCTCCCTGGAGAGAGATGGCATCAGAAGGTAGAGGATGGTACAGCCCTCTGGCCTGGTGAAGGGTGGGACCCCTCAGAAGTCACCCAGACCCCAGGGGCACAGAGGCCTGGGAGGAGCCACTGGAACCGTGTCCTGGAGGCTGGTCCATCCCAGTACCAAGACTTAGTAGCTGTGTGAACTCTGGCAAGTCACTCCACCTCTCTGAGCCTCAGTCTTATCATCTGTAGAATGGGAATGGTAGCATCCACCTCGTAAGGCTGTGCCGAGACCTTATGGTGCACTCATGCATCTGGGGTATCTATACAGCCATGTAGACATGGTGAGTCTCTGCACTCACGTTAGCCTCCTTAAGAGTGATTCTGTGTAGACAGATCTGGAACTAAACATTGGTCCAGTTATTTCCCCGAGAAGGGAAGTGGAGCTGCCAAGGCAGAAGATTCACACACTGAAGGCTATTGCCACGTTGCCTGCAACCCCGGAGGTGGGGCCAGGTCTCCCACCGGTGCCCAGGCACAGAGTTCACCGGCTGCCTTGCCTGCCTCTGGGTTCCATCCGGATGTGGCTCCTGCTGGTGTTTCCATGAAAGGGCTTCAGCCCAGTATTGCCGCGGACCTCTTGAGGGCCACCTTCAGGTCCCATTGTCCCCACGTGGGCCTCAGTTTTTTCTGCAGGCCATGCCAGCCCTTGGGTGCCTCAGCCGCATCCCCTGAGGGGCAGCTAAGCATGGCCAGCACAGGGACCCGGCGCCACACTCCCGCAGCTGGGGAAGTAGGATGCCAGGGCAGCCCTCAGCCCACCACAGCATCTGTATCCTCAGGCCGTCCTAGCAGGACTGCCCCCACGGGTCCTCCCACATGCTGGCTCTGGGCTCTGCTGCGTGCTGGGATTGGCACTGTCCCTAGCAGCCAGCTTAGCTCAGGCAGGGACCGGGCAGCCACATGTGTGTGGTCACCAGGCACCTGCCAGTAGCCACAGGGTGTCAGGCCACGGGATGGGGCACGTGGGCAGCCAGCCAGAGGACAGGATGTGGCCTGTGGGTGAGACCAGCCAAGGGTTCTGGGTGCCCAGGGGCAGGTGTGGACTCTGAGATGAGGACAGGGCCTTGTGCCTGCCCCGAGTGACCCCTGCACACTGCCCCACCATGGAGGGGGACAGCAATGGGGTTGGGAGTGGGAGCTACAACGCCATGGCTGCTGTCTCCTCCCT